TTCGATTCCAGGTCAGGGCACATACCAAGGTTGCTGCTATGGTCCTGGGGGCCATACAGGAGGCAGCAAATCTCTCATATCAATGCTTCTCTGTCTTCCTTTCTCTATTTGCAACCAATGAACATATCCTCAGGTGAGGAGATATATAAACATAGATATAGGTATAGGTATAGATATAGATATAGATATAGATATATAGATATATTAGTATATGTAAAACACAAAAAGACTTTTAGCCATGGACATCAACATTTTTTGTTTATGTTTCCTGATTTTGATAGTGTACTGCAGTTATGTAAGAGTATCGTTAAAAATTTTTTAAAATTTTAAAAATAAAAGAAAAACATTATTCTTTTTTTAATATATTTTTATTGATTTCATAGAGGAAGGGAGAGGGGGAGAGAGAAACATCAGTGATGAGGGAGAATCACTGATCGACTGCCTCCTGCATGTCCCCTACTGGAAAGCAAGCCTGCAACCCTGGGCATGTGCCCTTGACTGGAATTGAACCTGGGACCCTTCAACTCTGCAGGCCGATGCTCTATCTACTGAGCCAAACCAGATAGGGCTCATTGTTCCTTTTCTGTGAGTTTTAAGTTATATCTATATCTATATCATCTATATCTATATCTATCTATATCATATATATATATATATATATGATCGATCATCTGACCGTCCAACTGACCGGCCAGTACATATGACATGCACTGGCAATCTATATATATATAAGTCAAAGCCGGGGAGAGGAATGAAGATGGAGGCGTAGGTAAACACTCCAAACCAGGATTACATGAAGAATAAAATGGACTGGTAAACATAATAGAATCAGGGATATAGAAAGGGATTGGACTATCAATTAACAGGGGGAAAGGGGTCTGAAGGGTGTGGGAAGAGATTGGACAAAAATCTTACACCTATGGATGAAGACAGTGGCGGGGGTAAGGGTGTGGGAATCAGGGGTTGGGAATCAGGAGAAGGGGATTTTTTAAATTAAACATAAACAGCTGCTGTGCACAACAAGTTCAAAAAAAACTATAAAACAAACATCTATCTCCCAAAAACCAAACGAAAGCTGGCTGAGAGGAAGCCCTACAACTAGACTGAAAGAGAAAGAGGAGAATCCAGGGCACAAGCGCTGAAAAACTGAGGTGGGGGGCGAGGACGCTGCAAGGGCTGGCGGTGGATCCCGGCTGGCAGAGGGCAGTGCTTTCTTCAACCCGAAGAGAGACAAGCACCCCATCTCTCTGAAATCCAGTTTCTGGGGAGAGGCTAGGCTGTCTGCCATCTGGTCAGAAAGTGAGGCTGGCTTGCTTGCAGAGCTGAGATTGTTTGCTGTGCTGTGGTGTGAGACACGGGACACCATCGGAGAGGCAGCGGACAGGCAGCCATTGCTGTTGGCCACGCCCCAGCCTAGTGACGCCCTGAGACTCCACCCTGAGACTCCGCCTCACAGCATATCCAAGTTCCAAGCAGCATACTTTGCATATGACTGGCCCTCTCTGTTGCAGTTTACCAAAATTGCAACCTGGGGCAAACAGATCCAAGAAGGACAGGACTGTGGTTCACGCTGTAGCTTCTGCACAGTACTGGCCTCAGACAGTAGCTGAACTGCACCTCATTGAGACCCAGAAACCAGAGTTCTAGTGCTCAGTTTCAACCCCTCACACCCATAAGCGACACATTCGGGAGACGGTCTCAGTGAGCACCAAAGCCCCACTGAAACAAGGTGTGTCTCCAGTGCAGCAGTTCTTCCTTTATAGACACAGCAGGTCCTCGCAGACAATTGGCCTGGAGGTCAATTCCTCCCAGTGTACCAACAGCAATCAAGGCTTAATTAGCACTCAGCCCACAAAGGGATATAGCAAAAGCGACCACCTCAGGTGATTGGGGCAGCTGAGCTACTGACCCCTATAGGTCACCAACCACACAAAGCCACTCCATCAACACAGGGAGGTAGCCAAAATAAGAAGACACAGAAGCATGACACAAATGGGAGAGATGGAGGAGAGTAAACTACTGGACAACACACAGTTCAGGATCACATTTATAAGATTACTCAAGAATCTTCTAAAAACAACTGAAAAACTTGATGAGACCTCCAAGAAACTTGGTGAGACATTTAAGGACCTTAATGAGAATACTTTAAAAAAAAATGGATAAGGACCAGCCATAACTTAAGCATACAAAGTCTGAAATAAAGAATATACAGAAACTCAACTATAGATCAACATGCCCCAAGAATCAAACCAAAGACCTGGAATATAAGAAAGCAAAAATCACCCAACCAGAGAGGCAAAAAGAAAGAAGAATCCAAAAGTGTGAGGACAGTGTAAGGAGCCTCCGGGACGGCTTAAAACATACCAACATCCAGATTTTTTGGGTGACAGAAGAAGAGAGCAAGCAGAATATTGAAGGCTTAATGGAAGAAATAATGACATAAAACTTTCCCTACCTGGTGAAAGAAATAGACCTACAAGTTCAAGAACTTCACAGGACCCCAAACAAGAGGAATCCAAAGAGGAACACACCAGGACACATCATAATTAAGATGCCAGGAGCACAAAGAGAGATCTTACAAGCAGCAAGAGAAAAACAACTAGTTACCTATAAGGGAGTACCCATACGACTGTCAGCTGATTTCTCAACAGAAACTTTGCAGGCCAGATGGGAGTGGCAAGAAATATTCAAAATGATGAACAACAAAAACCTACAACCAATATTGCTCTATCCAGCAAAGCTATCATTTAGAATTCAGAAAAAGAGCTTCACAGACAAGAAAAAGTTAAAGGAGTTCATCAACACCAAACCAGGATTACATGAAGAATAAAATGGACTGGTAAACATAATAGAATCAGGGATATAGAAAGGAATTGGACTATCAATTAACAGGGGGGAAGGAGTCTGAGGGGTGTGGGAAGAGATTGGACAAAAATCTTACACCTATGGATGAAGACAGTGGCAGGGGTAAGGGTGTGGGAATCAGGGGTTGGGAATCAGGAGAAGGGGAGCTAAGTGGGGGCGAGGGAGAGAGGAACACCTGTAATAATCTGAATAATAAAGATTTATTTTAAAAAATAAATAAAAATAAGTCAAAGCGACCATCTGACTGGTAGCTATAACACACAATGATCACCAGTGGGCAGACACTCAATGCAGGAGCTGCTGAGCACTTTGGAACCCCCCGGGGGATGTTGGTCTGCCGGTTTCGGCCTGATCCCCGCTGGCCAGGCTGAGGGACCCCACCTGCTGGAGGGACCCCGCTCACTCCTCAGACATCCTTCAAGCCCTGGTGCCGCCCCAGGTGCTGCTGGCTGGGAAGGGACTGAGGGAGGTTGGCTCCAGCCTGTCTCACCCAGTCCTGTCACCTTCTAATTAATTTCCTTTCAATGTGCATGAATTCATGCACCGGGCCACTGGTTTCAAAATAAAAAGTGCCCTTGCTGGTTTGGTTCAGTGGATAGAGCGTTAGCCTGTGGCCTGAAGGGTCTCAGGTTTGATTCTGGTCAGGGGCACATGCCCACGTTGTGGGCTTCATCCTCAGTGGGAGGCGTGTGGGGAGCAGCCAATCAATGATTCTCTCTCATCATAGATGTTTCTATCTCCCTCTCCATCTCCCTCTCTGAAATCAATAAAAATATATTTAAAACAGAAAGCTTTTTTAAGTGGTGCAGAGGAAATTGCTCAGAGTGTCCCAGGCTGCAGAGGGGGCTTGCTGCGACACCTGTGCCAGTCACACAACCCCCCTGCCCTGTGCCAGCAGAGGAAGGCCGGAGATGGTGAGCCTTACGCCAGGGCTTACAAAGAAGGCAAAGTGAGCCGAAACCGGTTTGGCTCAATGGATAGAGCATCGGTCTGCGGGCTGAAGAGTCCCAGGTTCGATTCCGGTCAAGGCCATGTACCTTAGTTGCAGGCACATCTCCAATAGGGGGTGTGCTGGTTGATGTTTCTCATCGATGTTTCTCTCTATTCCTCTCTCTTCCTTTCTGTAAAACTCAATAAAATATATTTTGTAAAAGGAAGAGGAGGAGGAGGAGGAGGAGGAGGAGGAGGAGAAGGCGAGGTGAGGCAGGGCAGCGAATCCTCTGTTGTGATGTTATTTAGTCAGATTTAAAAGTCACTGCCTGGTCCTGACGGTGTGGCTCATCCGGCTGAGCTTTGTCCCCTGCACCGAATAGGTCAGTTTGATTCCTCAGTTCCTGGTCAGGGATGTGCAGGAGGCAAGGAACAGATGTCTCTCACATCGTTGTTTCTCTCTCTTTCTCTCCCCCCCCCACATCTCCCTCTCTCTCTAAAAAAATCAATACAACATATTTTTAAAATAAATGAAGTCAATGGCCAGCATTCCTTGCCTCCCAGGGACTCTGGTAGAGGGGAGGGAGACATGGGGGAGGGGAAAGACCCCAATGCAAGGTTTGCTGAGAATAATCCAGACTGCATAACTGGTGGCGGTTTTATACTTCCCCTCCAGGGAAGGCCAAGGCCCCCAGACACAGCCGGCACCCCCCTCCTTCCCCAAGGGGGAAGCGCTAGCGAGGGCGGAGGAGGCCTGCAGTGGGCTCGGGAGGCCAAGCTGCAGGTTCCCTGAGAAGCATCTGCCCCAGAAGCAAGCACCTCCTCTCACCCCCTGCTCCACAGATACCCCCTACATCCCCCCCCCCCATCACCTGCCCTCAGCAGCTCTCCAGCCACTCCGGGGGGGACAGGCCGCCTCAGCGGAAGGGCTGGGATGTCCCCTGGCCCCACCAGCCCTTCTCCCCCCATCACCTGCCTTCTCCAGTCACTCTGTCCTGGGAGGGGGGGGGGCAGGGTTGTCAGGGATGGAAGGCCCCTCCCTCATCCCCTCAATGTCCCTCCTCCCTCCCCCATCACTTGGGTGTCCAGGACATTGTGCGACTCAGGAAACAGCTCAGCGGCGAGGCCCGCGGCGGCCAAGACGGCGGAGGAAGGGGCTGTGGCTCCGCGGAGGGCGGAGGGCGGAGGGCTGGCTGCCGGCGGGGATGCGGCCCCCTGCGCTGCTGCTGCTCTGGCTGCTGGGCTCCGGGGCTGTGGGGGCCGGAGGTGAGGACGGGGTGCGGTGAGGACCGGGGTGCGGGGCCCGGGGGAAGGGGCCCCCTTTGGCGGGTTGGGGCGGCGCTGGATGGAGCAGAGCCTCACGCTGGAAGGGGCAGCCGGCGGGAGGGCTCTGCTGCCCGCCCTGCTGCCCGCCCTGCTGCCCCCCCCTGCTGCCCGCCCTGGGCAGACCAAGGCTGGGTCCCGGGCCAGGGGTCTGCTGGGGTTGGGTGACAGGTGCCCACCCCAGGGAGAGCGCAGTGACCTGGAGCTTGGGGACAGGGGACTCGACTGGGGGGAAGAGGAACAGACTGACCACCCGGTAGAGAAAGAGATGTGAGGAGATGGAGACGTGGAAAGGTTGAGGGTCCATCAAGTCCCTTTCTGGTTCAGGTCCACCCGCCCCCCTTCCACCCCCCATGGCTCAATGCTGGGCCCTTCCGGGAGGAAATCCCTTCTCTGTCTCAGCCATTCACCTCCCAGGAGTCCCCTCAACCCCCCTCCTGATCCCTGTTGTCTTGCTTCCAAGGGACCAGGACGGACGGATGGAGGCTGCACTTGGGAGTCAGAGGAAAACAGGAAGGGGGGGGGGGTAGTGCGAGGCTGGGGGGGGGGGGGCGGCAACACGTGGGGATGGGGACGGGGTAGGATGCTAGCCGGTCCCCAGTCCCGCTCATCCTCCTCTCCATCACAGGCCTGCCCTGCGGGAATCTCTCCGAACCCTGTGCCAACGGGGGCACCTGCCTGCGCCTGCCTCAGGGCCAAGGCGCCTGTCGGTGAGGTGCCTGTGGGGGAGGGAGCCCGGGAGGGGGAGGGAGAGAAAGGGAGGGGGAGGGGCAGAAGGCCAGCCTCAGCCAGTGATGTGAGCCCCTCCCCTCCCCAGGTGTGCTCCTGGCTTCCTGGGTGAGACGTGCCGGTTTCCCGATCCCTGCCAGAACGCCCAGCTCTGCCAGAACGGGGGCAGCTGCCAAGCCCTGCTTCCTGTCCCCTCGGGCTCTTCCTTAGCCCCCAGCTTCCTCTGCACCTGCCCCTCGGGCTTCACTGGCGAGAGGTGCCAGGCCCCGCTCAAGGACCCCTGTTCTTCCTTCTGCTCCCAAATGGGCCGCTGCCACGTCCAGGCCTCGGGACTCCCGCGCTGCCTCTGCTTGCCCGGGTGGACAGGTGAGCGGCGGGGGGGCGGGGCCAGGGCCGGGCAGGAGTGAGATCCAGCAGCCGGTCCTTGTGACACGGTCACCGCGATTGGCACTCGCCACACAGCGTGCTGCTGCCCAGTGTGACCTGTTCCAAAGCCGTGGGTGCGTAGCTGCGCCAGTCTCCTCGACTGCAGCGGAGCCCTCTCCCCGCCCCTCACCGCCCGCAGCGGGCTCTGTGTTCCGCACCTGAGCGGCCTCTGCCTGCCGGGTGCGGGGTCGCCAGGCGGACTTCGGTGGGGGAGGTGGCTGGTGAGGAGGGGTGGGAAGGGTCTGACCAGGGAGGAATGGGTGTCCCCCCAGGAGGAGGGGGCACCCCTGCGGCAAGACAGCAGGACGGGGTGGGAAGGGGTGCCACGCTGGGGAAACGGTGGGTGGGAGGACAGAGCTTGGGCCGCGGAGAGGAAGGACCCGCAGGACCAGGTCAGTGGAGGGGCTGGGCCTGGCGACCACAGCCAGGAGGCAGAAAGAGACAGCAATGACCCGGAGTGTCTTCCAACGCCGAGCCCATCCCGGAGGGTTGGTGGGCCTGGTGGCCCGGGGCATGGGGATGTAAAAGGCAGGTCATTCTGACTGCGCGTCAGGGACCAGCACGCGGGACAAGGAGGGGCACTGGCCACTTGCCAGGCCTGGTGTGGAGTCGGGGTTCGGGGCAGCCCCTCCCCGGGTCCAGGCCAGCTCGCCCACTGGCAAGACTGGCCCGCAAGGACACCTGGCATGCGGAGAGCCCACGCTGCTCAGGAGGCGCTCGCCCAGCCGCCTGGCACAGCACCCAGGCATGGGTGCCCTTGCCGGTGGCGCTGCTGTGCCGGGAGTCTTTGTCGCTTCGAAGATCCACCCACGCAGAGACCAGGCGGCGGGACGGCCCCACGAGAGGGGCCAGCGGGGCTAGGTCTCCTGGGGGCAGGCAGGGCGCTGCCCACCTCCCACCACCTCACCCGGGGGCCGTGTCCCCTCCCCCCAGGCAGGGCCCATCTGCAGCACGCCAACAACCCGAGTCCCACTTTCAGCTTAGAAATACCCTCCTACCGATAAACCCTCCAAGACACAAGCCAGCCAGGCAGGGCGAGGGGGGTGGGGGGATGGAAGGCGGGAGCTGTCCTCAGGCCCTGGGAGCTGATGGCCCTTGCCCTTTGCCCTCTGCCCTCGGCCGCAGGCGAGCGGTGCCAGCTTCGGGACTTCTGCTCGGCCAACCCCTGCATGAACGGAGGGGAGTGCCTGACCACCTACCCCCAGATCCAATGCCGCTGCCCCCCGGGCTTCGAGGGCCACGCCTGCGAGCGCGACGTCAACGAGTGTTTCCGCGACCCGGGGCCCTGCCCCGCGGGCACCGCCTGCCGCAACACGCTGGGCTCCTTCCACTGCGCCTGCCCCGCGGGCCGCCCCGGCCCCCGCTGCGCGCTCCGGGCCGGGCCCTGCCCCCCCGCGGGCTGTGCCAACGGGGGCACCTGCCAGACGGTTCCCGGCGAGGGCGCCAGCGCCCACCTCTGCCTCTGCCCCCCCGGTGAGTGCTCGCTGCGGGGTGTCCGCACCCGGGGGAGGCCGGCCCCTCGCTGACCCCGGGCCCTGTCAGGTCTCACAGGCCCGCGCTGCGAGGTGGACCCGGACGACTGCGCCGGGCACCCGTGCCGGAACGGCGGCACGTGCCAGGACGGACTGGGCGCCTACACCTGCCTCTGCCCCGAGGCCTGGACAGGTGAGTCCCTGTGCCCAGTTCCCGCGCAAAGGCCAGCGGCCAGCCCCGCCCCTCCCATAGGCCCCGCCCCGCCCGCCAGCAGGCCCCGCCCCTCCCCAGGCCCCCAGGCCGCCCAGCCCACCCCCCTCTCCCCGCAGGCCCCGACTGCTCGGAGGACGTGGACGAGTGTGAGCCCGGGCGCGGCCCCCGCTGCGCCCACGGCGGCACCTGCCGGAACGCGGCCGGCGGCTTCCACTGCGTGTGCGGCAGCGGCTGGGGCGGCGCCCGCTGCGAGGACAACCTGGACGACTGCGCCGCCGCCACCTGCGCCCCCGGGGCCACCTGCATCGACCGCGTGGGCGCCTTCTCCTGCCTCTGCCCGCCGGGCCGCACAGGTGCGCGCGGGGGGCCGGGCGGGGGGCGCCAGGGAAGCCCCGGCCGCTGAAGCCCCCCGCCCGCCGCCCGCAGGCCTCCTGTGCCACCTGGAGGACCGGTGCCTGAGCCAGCCCTGCCACGGGGAAGCCCAGTGCAGCACCAACCCCCTGACGGGCGCCACGCTCTGCCTGTGCCAGCCCGGCTACACGGGCCCCACCTGCCACCAGGACCTGGACGAGTGCCAGATGGGTGAGGCACCCACCGGGTCCTCTCTGGGCCCCACGGCCTCCGCGCTGGCCACAGGCTATCGCTTTCCGAGTTCAAAGCACAGACAGCTTGTCCCTGCACCTGGGCGGGCTGGCATCTCTCCCCCACGTGTCTGCTCCCCGCACCCCGCCGCCCGCCCCAGTACCCTCTCTCCTAAGGCTGCCCTTTCCTGGCACCGTCTCCTCCGCCACACGGCCCGGCCCCAAGCCGATGGCTGCCCGCCGTCCCCGGGGCCCCTGGGGACCGGCTCTTCTCTCCTCCCAGCCCAGCAAGGCCTGGGGCCCTGTGAGCACGGCGGCTCCTGCCTCAACACCCCCGGCTCCTTCCACTGCCTCTGCCCGCCTGGCTACACCGGCTCCCGCTGCGAGGCCGACCACAACGAGTGCCTGTCCCAGCCCTGCCGCCCCGGCAGCACCTGCCTGGACCTGCTCGCCAGCTTCCACTGCCTCTGCCCCCCAGGTAAGGGCCGGGGCCGGGGCCGGGGCTGGGGCTGGAAGACGGGCCACAGGCCCGCTCACCCCCAGAGCATGGAGAGCCTCAGGCCCGGGGGTCAGGCCCCCCCCAGAACCCCGCCCACCCCCCCCCCCAGGTGACACTCTGCCCAATGGCAAAGGCTGTGCCCGCCGGGCTCCGGGCAGGGGCATGCGCTCCCCGGCCCCCTGTCGGGAGCGGAACAGCAGTTCCTAACGGCACCGGCCCAGCCCGCTCCCGGCACAGAGGCGCTCCGGGGCGCGAGGCCGGAACGCCCTCGAGGGGCCTGGTGCCTGGATCTGGTGCCGCAGGAGGGGGTGCCGCCAGGCTGCACCAGCTCCGCCAGCCTCCGAGACCATGAGCGTGCCGGGAGCGGGAAGAAACAGCGAGAACAGCTCCCCCTGCGTGGGGGCTACGGAGCGGGCTACACGCCGGCTAAGCTTGACAGCAGCCCCACGGGTCCGGCTGCTGGGCCCTCTTTGTGAGCGCGCTGAGACCACACCCAGGGGCCGAGGGACAGGCTGTGGGCGTGAGGGGTGATGAAGCGGCTCCCGGGCGGCAGGGAGGCAGCGTGCAGGGCGAGACGGGGCCATCTGGACCGAGGAGCTCCGGGGCCCCAGAGGCCCGCCAGACACCGGCCTCGGCCTCCGGCACAGAGCGCCAGCGCAGGGAGAACAAAGCGGGGCTCCTCCCAGCACTGCCCTGTCTCCCTGTCCTCGGGCCTTGGGCTCCTCAGCCGCCCTCCGGGCCAGGGGAGGCCCCAAAGGCCCGTCCTCGCAGCCCCCACAGCCGGAGGCTCCTCAGCCGCCCTCCGGGCCAGGGGAGGCCCCAAAGGCCCGTCCTCGCAGCCCCCACAGCCGGAGGTGCCGTCCTGGGCTCTCCCTAGAGAGCAGGATCCCGAGTTCATCCCTACAGCCATGTGCCACGGCGCCCCGGGAGGGCAGCCTGAGGCGGGGGGGGGCAGGCTGTTCTCAAACCCGGGCCCCCTGGGCCGCAGCCCTCAGCGCAGCTCCCTCCGCAGGCTTAGAAGGGCGGCTCTGTGAGCTGGAGACGGACGAGTGTGCCTCTGCTCCCTGCCTGCACCAGGCCAGCTGCCAGGACCTGCTCAACGGCTTCCACTGCATCTGCCCGCCTGGTGAGTGCCCCCCTCGCCCCCCGCACCTGCCCTTCCACCCCTGACCCCCTGCACCTGCCTGCCCACCCCCTCACCCCCCCCACCTGACTGCCCACCCCCTCTCACCCCCCTGCACCTGCCTGCCCCCCCTCACTCCCCGCACCTGCCTGTCCACCCCTCACCCTCTGCACCTTTCTGCCCACCCCTCGCCCCCTGCACCTGCCCCAGGTGAGTGCCGCTTCCACCCTGTTTTCTCCTCAGGCCTCTGAGCTTGCACTGTTCGGGCTCCAGGCCTCTGCTGTGCTCTCTAAGCTCTTCTGTCACGCCCCCCAAGTCCCCCTTCCCTTGCCTGCCCGCCACCTCCTCTCTGTGCTGCCCTATCGCCCCCAGCCTCCTTCCCAGACCCGAGCCCTGTGCCCCTGCACGGTCAGGGCCATGCCGCCGCGGGGACAGCGAGGGCTCCTGGCGGCTCAGACCTCGGTCCTCTGCATGGCGCTGGCTTACTGCACACCCCAGCTCTGGTCTCAGGCACTTCCTGTCCCCCTTCCACGGCAGCCGGGTGGGTTCCATTGTTACCCTCTGCCGGGCACCCCGCTCACCCCCGCCCGCGCACCTGCCCGGCGTGTCCTCGGGACCCTCCAGGTTCGCCCTCGGGCCGGGCAGGGCCGGACTGGGATTTATGATGGGACGAGTCTTCAGCATTAGCACCTCGATCCCCTGGCCTTATTTGTACGGAGCGTGAGGGACCCCGTTGTGCTCGGTAACGCCGGAAGCCCCGGCACTAAGCAGCCCCGGCGGAGCCTTCCTCACACAGCCTGCCCTCGCCCGCCCGCCTGCGGCGCTCACGTCCCTGGCTTCACTCCTCCTGCCCACCAAGCCCCGGCTCCGCCACACCCTGCGCGGCTCCCAGTGCCTGTAACGAACAGAGGTCTCCCCCCCCCCCCCGCAGGGTTCACGGGCTCCCGGTGCGAGGAGGACGTCGACGAGTGTGGCAGCTCTCCCTGTGCCAACGGCGGGCAGTGCCAGGACCAGCCTGGGGCCTTCCACTGCGAATGCCTCCCGGGTAAGCGGGCTCAGACACCGAGGGGGAGGGGTGGGGAGAAGGGGAAGGAAGGGGGAGAGGGAGAGGGGCCAGTGGACGCTCACAGCCCCTGAGCAGCATGCTGTGCCCAGGCTTTGCAGGCCCGCGCTGCCAGGCGGAGGTGGACGAGTGTCTGAGCGGCCCGTGTCCCCCGGGCGCCAGCTGCCTTGACCTCCCGGGGGCCTTCTCCTGCCTCTGCCCCTCCGGCTTCACAGGTCAGCGGAGCCACTGGCAAGGCGGGGGGGGGGGGGTAGTTCTTTGGGGGGGCCGAGGTCACGGGCGTGCTGGGTGTGCTAGGCGTGCGCTGGGAGTGGAAGGCGGGAGCCCTGTTCAGGGGGAAGCCTGCGGCCGCACACCCAGTACTATTACCCTGGCCCCGTGAACGCGGGGTTGGGCAGGAGAGGGCGGGTTCGAGGGGAAGCCACTGGTTCTCTGGCAGCAGGCACTTGGGGGCAGACCTGCTGTGAGAGCTGCCTCCCCGCCCAGGCCTGAAGTCTGGGCGGAAAGGCCACGGCCTCTCCTGGCGCCCAGAGGGCTCCTGGGCGGCCTTCCCGAGGAGCAGGCGCGGTCAGACCCCGGCCACGGGGCGGGAGGGGAGGACGCCCTCGGGAGCACAGGGGACCGACGGCGAAGGCGGGAAGCGGGGCCCAGGCAGCAGGCCCCGCGGACTGAGGGCAGGAGCGGGTCACACACACGCGGCCTCTGGCCCCGTCTCCCCCATCTCCCGCCCAGGCCCTCTCTGTGAGGCCCCCCTGTGTGCCCCTGGCCTGTGCCAGCCCGAGCAGAGGTGCCAGCGCCAGGAGGACCAGGCCCGCTGCCTCTGCCCCGACGGCCGCCCCGGCTGTGCCCCCGCGGAGGGCAACTGCACCTGCCGGCATGGGCACTGCCACAGGTAAGGTCCTGCCCTCCTCCCCCTCCCGGGAGGAGAAGCGGATGGGTCTGTGTGGCCCGCGGAGACCACAAGGAGATGGCAGAGTCCTGAGGTGCCGCCTCAGGGGGCAGGCTGGGCCTCAGGGGGCAGGCTGGGCCTCAGGGGGCAGGGCGGGGGTGGGGGTGGCCCAGGAGGGAGCGATGACAAATAACAGGCAGCGCAGGCCTAGGGGTGAGCGCCCAGAGGAGAGCACTGAACCCAGGGCCGGCCCCCCAGACAGGCGGTTACTGAGCCCTGTCCTGCGTGGTGCTGCCCAGGGGCACTGGCAGAGGCAGCAGAGGACGGGAGCTGCCCCGGGGCATAGGCAGGGGCGGCAGAGGCGGCCGTGGACAGGGCTGCTGAGG